ACAACGCACCAGGTGTAGGTAGCCTCTAGAGTCTGTTGTCACCTTTTTTAGCAGCTAGCCTTCATGAGAAGTCATGATCGATCGGAAATGGGTAATCCATTTACATGAGTAGGCATCTATCATGCTCATTTAACCAACATAATGATCAGTAGATATCTGTATTACAAATACCAGTGGAGCATACATGTGTACGATTGCAAAATGGATAAGAAGGCAACTTGATGGTAATTCGTTTCCATCAAGTTAAAGCTATCCCCGGAGCTCTCATTACTATTAGCATCACTATTTCCTTAGCATCTTATGGGCACTTGAGGATAGCTTGAGAATAATTTCCCCAATTTTTATGAACTAAGATTTGAATTCTTTAGTAGTTGCATTGACGACTGTCCTACAATCAATCCTCTATTTTCTTGACGCGAGAATATATATATATATATGCATGAAATTGCGACAGTTTTTTAGAATGGCTGCTACGCCCATCCCTATTTCAGTATTTAGTGGACGTAATATGCAACTTACTTCGTTGAAATCAGCCAGAATTTAAATTTAAAACAAATACAATTTGTTAATACCCCTCCTGTTATCCAATTGCCCACTGTGTTACAAAAGAATAATTTGTCAAATTTGATTAAAGGAAGGCCTCCGAATATCAGAACTGATAAAGCTGTTTAATAAGTAGCAAAGGAAGTTGGCCATGGGGTCCTTAAGTCCTTCCTTTTCCGCTGTAATATCCCAGACTAACTCTCTGGTTTCGCATTCAGGATGACGCTATCTAAAAGAGAGGTGGATCTCGCCATCCTAATAAATTTATCGCTTCATATCGCGTTGACCTGCTAGTTGAATCTAGAAAACCAGGGGAACACTTTTTTGGGTGGATTCTCAGTCGAATCTGCACCATTCTGCCTTCTATCACTAAATACATAGATAGATAGATGTAAAGCAGCAAGGTGCATGATGAGCAAACTGGAATTAGCAATGAATGTATTTTAATGAGACTTTGTAGATACTAAAGCAGCAAGTTGGGGTGGGGGGGGGGGGACTGTAGATATACTGAATTCAATTGAAAGAATGGGTGTAAGTGTTGGAAGAAGGAGTTGGAGAGGAGAGAGCCGACATGTTGTGATAGAAATCGGGAAGTTGGAATCTATTAAGTGTTAAGAATACACCTGAATAGCTATGAATTCAAATTTGGCAAAGAACATTAGAATTATTATAAGACAATGTGGATGAATTTGCTGAGTGATGACGACAATTTCAAGGCTATCTGGAAAGAATAACCTAGACCGCCGAAGATGTACATTATGTGAATGAGATTTGAAAGAATTTTTTAACTTAATCGTTGTGGAGTGGCTTTTGCTTTCAGCATGTTACTGCTTAAGCGTTATATCAGTTGCATTAATCGACACGACAGTTTTCCAACTGGAAGATGGAAAGACGCAAGTTCTCATTACCACAGTGAAAAATGAAGCATGTGCAGTATCACATAATTTCTACCAGTTCATTTAATTCCTACATGAACTAGTCCCCAGTTTTGATGGCAATGTGAAGAAGCTATAAAGTAAATACTAACTTCTTCAAAGTAAGATATTTAATGATCTTTCAAAATGGGGTGTACGATGGACTTACCTCCACGTGGTGCACCCTGGGCAACGTATACTCATAAGGCAAAAAAGTCTATTAACTGGCAGTTGACTTCTGACCTCAAACTACCATCACCCCACTGTATCCATCTTACCTTTTCTCTGCCTTTATGTCTGTCTGTCTGTCCCTTTTACATCTGTGAATCACTCTTCTTTTACCCCCTGTCGAATTTTCTCACTTTGATGTTCCTCCCCTCGGTGAAGCTCGAGGTCAGCTAAAGGGCTAATGATATTATCAAAACGCCTGCCATTTGATATAAATAAATAAATAATCCATCAAAATGCATGCCATTTGATATAAATAAATAAATGTTTTGTTAAATTTCGTACAACTAGATCTAAAAAGGGGAGGATGATTTTGGACACACTTTTAATCATACATCTGTTGCTCTGGGAATTTTAAAATCTGATACTTTCAAACCACTTTCATTTTGTGCAATATAAGTTTTCCAACACAGTACCACCCAATTCATATAAATGGCAAAGCTATTTTTCGTAGATTTTTGGTCATAGAAAAGCGTAGAAACATGGAAAAGTCCAGAGTGTTCCACTTACCAAGACTTCATTCCATTCCCATTAGTTGAGGTAGGTGTATAATGCTTGGTATGATGATAGTGGTCTTACTGAGACGCACTCAAGCTATCTACCACTGCTTGGATTTTAAAAGAATTCCACCTGTTGATTACATCTAATAAAGGAAGGAATTGAATCTCATTATGAGCGCTTCAGTAAAGTATCAAGTCAAAAGTGAATGGCGTCCAGGATGTTAATTTTAATTCCGTTCCCTGCCTTATGCTGCCATTCACTTAACAAATAATTTGGATTGAAAATAGATTGAAAAATGCTCTAAGCATAAAGTCGTCGATGTAATTTCTTACTGCATAAAGTATATCAGCACTTTGATCTTATTCCACGAAAATAATGAGGATAAGACGCTTGAAGAGAACAAATATTCCTCCCCCCTTTAGTTACAAATTGACCTTAATTCAACCATATATATAGCGCAAGAATCTCCTCACTGCCCTCCAAAAAAAATAAAACAAGAGAACTGGGTATTCATAGCTTGTATGCGTATGTATATAAACAAAAGAAGGTAGTCATACGTATCCAATATCGAAGCAAAAAGGTGTCTTTTAGGAATACCTCTCTTTCCTGCATTTACACAGACAAGTGAGAGTATACATATATACGAGGTAATGGTTTAGGTAAGATAGTGAAGTGAGGAAATCTATGTACAAAGTATCAAATATCAACAATGAGGATTGGGGGAAGGGGTCTAAGCATCGAGTGAGAAAGTGATGCATAGTTACTTAAAAGTTGTGATTACAATGTTCTCTAGGTTGACTAACAACACTTGTAGTGTGCGTTGGTATTATGTTACATGATTAAGCTGGGGAGTGGGATTCGAAGGTACCGAAGTATGAACAGCCATAGAAACACTAGGGGTATGATAATGTTCCCCCATGTGCATTGTGGAGGAGTAGACATGTTGTAGGGGACCTGACTGGGATTGAATGGATCGGGGTAGGGAGGGTTGTTGGACATTAGGTGGGGGAGGGATGTAAGTTGGACCTGAAGGACTAGTGACACCTAAAGCATAAGCCGTCGCAGTGCTTTGCTGTGAAGGAAGCGTACTGCCAAACATGATGGGATATCCTGCCTGTGCGAAGGGAAAAATGAAGGATTGCTGGTTCTGATGACAAGCTGCAGCTACAGCATTCGCCAGATTATCGCTTGGCGTTTCATACATCAACTGATTTGTAGAAGTCTCATTATACACAGTCTCATAAGCTCCACCCTGACCATTTGCATTCTGAGAAGACGTTGTAGACTGTGAAGTAAAAGTACCTGAATCTCTCTGTTTTGATGCAACCAAAAGACCGCCACTCAACGGTGGATTTTGATAGCCAGTTTGAGCGTAATCAGGGGGATATCTAGGAGCAACTGGAAGTTGTGAAAACTTGAGCAGAGATGAAGAGGCGGCTGAGGATGAAGTACCGTCGGGATTGTGTTTATTATGATCCCGATGCCTTAGCATTGGGTCTGATTGGGATCGTAATTTTGCCCTCCGGTAGACATACAACTTAGACGTCCTGTACGCAATTATGAACATCAGCATGGTAACGAGGAAGGTACCAAGAACAGCACCAATCAAATCCATCAAACTGAACCGTTTTGCCAGTATGGTGTACTCGGAAGGACGTATATGATGAATAAGCTCATT